AATGCGACAATCTACTTTCGGAAATTGACAGGCTGGGCTTTCAGTTGAAAAACATCATAGACCTGGTTTATTTCATTTCTATCCTAGATTCGACGATCGTTAATTTCAATGTCCAGGCTAAAGCGACTGTGAACTTTGTTGATAGTCGACGGATGCAAGAACTGACGAAAGCAACAGTCCGTGATTCAGCCGCTATGAAACAGGTAAGTTGGCATCTCAATTGGCTTGACGATCCTAAATAATCCTTGATAGATTTCCTACCTGACAATGATTTTCCTCCCTGCCAGCTTCATTGCGGTATGCCTAATTTCACTCTTTCAGCGATACATTTAATTACTTTCTTCCAGTCGGTGTTTGGAATGAATGTCAGGGAAATTATTGGCGGTGCCACGGAAACCATCGGCCATTACGCGATAGTTTCTGTTGCATTTACCGTGGTCACTGCATGGCTCGTAGTCGCATTCCAAACTCACTCGCCGTTCCACGAGCAAGGGACTGGATTTTGGCGACGGCTCGCGTGGCCGTTTTTATATGTCACGAGACCTACAGGCCTCCGACAGTCGCTCAGAAGTCAGCCCATTGGAGATATGTAGGCAGACTCTCTAAATCAGACACCTTTCTTCATCTATATCAGCTCGCACAGAATAATGACTTAACGATCATGAGACGAACCGCATCGTTTTTAGATGTAGACTTGTTGCTTTCTTTCACGACTTGTACTGACTCATTGCTTACATGTTATTACATATTAGTAATAAGCACGATGCCGATTAGCAACCGGCTGTTATTAGTTAACGAAGCATTTCCTTTGACATTGAACTTGTGAGTGAAGATGCGGACACACTGGAGTGCCGTTACTTGCAAGAGGGTCACCTGAGGCCCGACCCCTGATTCAACGTACGTTCGACAAACGTTGACCGGTTGAACTTCCAAGCTTGAGCTTGGCGTGTCATCTCATATTTTTTGTCTGTTTTGCCCCTGGACTCCACGGGACCTGGAAGGCTCAGAGTCGGTCCCCATTATCACCATCCAGTGGTTTCCACTCCAATCAGACAATAACAAAACTCAAGGAGGGCAGTCGCATGGGTTCATTTATTTGGTTAAGGCATCAATCGAAGTTCATGCGGCGTCATTAAAATAAAAAATACTGATCCATTAATTCAGTATTAGACCTGAGCTAGCCCATGCGATCTGCAAGACAACATCAATGTACTCTGGTGAACATCCACAAGACTCCTATGCTGAATACTTCTTGAACCCCACATGTCTGACATTTACGTCTGCCAGAAGGTTTATGTTCCCGATCAGCTTCTCCAGTTCGGGATCTTTGTTCCGTTTCAAGCTCTCACGATGCTTGAGGTTTGGATCTTCAGCACAATAGCCTGGGATCAAAACACGTTTGCTGAAACTTACTTCATGTGACTTCCAACCAACAAACAACACGATCTTCTGGTCATCCTCGAGCACTTCTCCGCAGGTGTGGGCTACCACCTCGTCAAAGCTCTGAGACACGAGTATGTCCAACTGGCGCTTTAGCAATGTCATGCTCTTCACTTCCTTTACTGTGTTAATTGCGATGCCGACGTGAGGCGCCGTAAACACTTGTGAACAGTCATGTTGAACTAGGACATGGACCATTTGGCGCTGTCCCTCGACTGCCACCGAAAGGGCGTCCCTGAGCGCCTGATAGTGGGGGCTTTGCTGGAGGGCTACATGGTGCTGATGTGTCTCCCAGACTGATGGGGCAATTAATATTTAATGAAGCCTGAAGATGTGTATCATGTACGAGGGCGACTTACGAATCACAATCTGACCTTGCCTTGAATCTTCAACCTGCAGGCCGTGGAATGAGCTTCTTGTATGAGCATTCGTGAACTGTTTTCAATTTCGCACTTGCTCACTCGATGTGACCTTTGGTCTGCGCCAGAATGCCAAAGAAGTCGTGCAAGGACACACTGGGCGCAGCCACATAAGCTGCGGATGGGGTAAAGGTGATGAGCTCAACTACTGGCACAGGCATCAGTGGCACTTCGAGGTAAGACTTGAATGAAAGGCTATGATTTAGGCTTCCCTTGACTGGCAGCGTGCGGCAGCCTGAGGGCTTCTGGAATCCGTTCCGTTGATAATTATTGCGTCAAGTGACCTCCACAAAAACCTGCGCCGCGGCATTTACAGGATGCAAGAATAATGCTGGTCTTCATCAACATTGCCAATTGTAAATAGACGATTCGCAGCCTATATCGATGAGCGCACCTTGTTCATGCTATTGTGGCTACTTATCGTAACAATTACCTCATGTCACATCTTCGGTTACACTATATACCGTCATAGGCCCACATGATGCAGGTTCACTACCCACCGCTCAGGTCCTGTTCCTGTCTGCATGACCATCATCATAATTGCACGTTCCTTCTTTTTACATCTTTACGACTTGCAAGAAGCGTAGCGGCCCGGGCTCGCCCAGGCGTTGTGGGGCATGGCGTATCGAACGTGGTTGAACAACCTACCCGACCGCAAGCCATTGGTTCGAACTACACTGGTGCACTATATCTGTGGCTGGCAGATGCCAATCATCCACGCGGTTTGGCACATCTCCACTGTGCACTGCTTGGTAACGGATGTACACGGTTATCGATGAGTGAACCGGCTGCGCTAAAAGTGCGTCTATATCATGAGCAATAAACGCGAAACTCGTCACCCCCGCTAGACGATCCCGTCCTATAACCGACTTTCGGTAAACTTCCATTTTTGCCATGACCAGCTGGAGTCGTTTGTCTTTCTTAGCGCTTCTTGCCCTGCAGGAAACGGTCCTTGCAGAATATGTGAGAACCAAGAAGTCTACGATCGCTCCTGTTGGCGCAGAAGTCCTGACGGTGGGCGTAATTGGGGGCGAGTAATGATATCCGATTGTCAGGAGCCTAACCTTGACAACGACATCGTAGATTATGGTTGGACAGGATGGACGCCGAGTCCTCCACATTTCTGCCTTGAAGTGCTTCCGGAGTTGCAGGCTGCTGGACTCGTTATTCCGAATGAGGTCCTAAACGATTGTGATCCCGGAGACATATTGTACATAAACAATGCTACCGCTTTGCAGGGTGAGTCAACTTACTCTTTCACCACAATGCAGCTAAGCCCTCCGAAGTCGACACGTCTTCATATATCGGACAAGTATGCGCGATGAAGAACTGCACTGCATTTGTACGTGCTCTGGCATAGCTGCAAATGAATCGCTGATTTCGAACTGTTGAAAGGTCTCTGTTGGCGACAACTTTTATGATAGTGGTGTTGATTTCACTACTGGGGGTATACAACGTTTCCAGGAAGCATGGGTCGGCATGTACAGCCAAGGAGTTTTTGAGACTGCTCCTTGGTATCAATGTCTCGGAAATCACGACATTGTAAAAGGACAGAGCGGCGTTGACTTCCAGACGAAAGTTGCTCCCATTTACGACCCTCGCTGGAATTTTGTAAGCTCGAAATATTTGGCCCTTTTGTAAAATCTGCTGATCGTCCCTGTCAGGGAACTCAAGGGCTTCCATATTGGACTTACGACCTGACAGGCAAAGACTGGACCGCTACTTTTGTCGTCGTGGATTCGGATTGTTTCCTGAGCTCGTATCAGAAGGTTGTAGATTTTGCTACCACGCAAAACAGATGACTGACAGATGATGAATCTCCCAGAACACCTCTGTATATGTGAACCCGTACACAGAAGCCTGCTATGCAGACCAACAAACGCAAATCAACTTCCTAGCCAACACCTTTGCTCAGTCCACGGCTACATGGAAGTTCCTCCAGCTCCACCACGGTTACATGTCTTCAGCCACCAACGAAACCGAACTCGCGCCTCTCGTTGAGATTGCTGTCCAGCACCACGGAATCGTCTTGAACGGTCATGACCACTGCCTCGGGCATTATTACTTTAACGACACCAACTTCATTCTCTCTGGCGCCGCGGGCTACCCTCAAGCTGGTGATTGCAACTACGGTATTCCACTCGGACCGTATGCAAAATTCTTGGGAGCGAATCCATTATCTGGTATGGTTCTTGACTCCTCGCATATTGGTCTGGATTAACATTCTCTCAGCGGCGAATGGTTTCGTGACAATGGATATCAGCAAGCAATCCATAAACATTGAATATTACCTGCGGGACATGCAATTCGAAGACGGGGATTTGTACCCTGTTCCGTATGATCTCAACCCTTCTTATTCTTTCCAGATTACAGAGCACTCGACTTGATCGTCTCTGAAGATCTGAGGGCCCTTTTAAATAAAAGTCAGACCATCCATATTTTGTATTCGTGTCACTGGTATGCAAGGCGTGCTCGACGACTCGACTTGAAGGATATTTTATTTGCGCAAGTCCTATGTAGCAAGTCTGCGCAGGCTGACCGAGGCATATGATGGGTATATTAAGTTGGTATAGAGCAGGACTAGTCGTGTACATACGGATATCGTTTGGGCTGCCCCAACCAATAGCCAGAAGCAAATACAAACTCCAAGCTCCAAGTTCAATCGAAGTTTGATAATTACACGGTGTCAACACTGACTCCAGCCTCCCTGAGGGGTCGATCCAACGTTCATCCCACGGGTCAAAATTTTCATATCTCTGTCATTGTCAACCTCTTAAGATCTTTTGTCGCCCTGCATCTTCCCCTGTTTCCTCTGACATATACATCCGTACTAGGAATTGCCTGTCACTGTAAAGCTGTCAAGATGATATCCAACAATTCGCACCACTGCCATCAGCATTTAGCATTCAATCTGCGATACTGTAGCCTTCTAGACCGTCTCACTGCAAGGCTGATCCAATAGCTATCGGCACTTATAGGATGCAGCGTGGACGCTCTGTAAAGATCTGTTAAATTTGCACAGCTATGGTATTATGTGGTACATTGATCATGGTCTGACCGTCTGAGAGGGCGGGGACGATGTGCCTGACAACTATTACTCTGTAAAAGGGTTTGCACTGGCTGCAACATCCCCAACCTGATGGTCATATGATGGGTCTGTCTCCCTGGTGGAGCGCTTTTCCGAGTTTTCCATATAACCGCTGCTTCCTCCCCATTCGTCTCTAACTATCTTCTTGGTTATCTCCACCACAGTTCACCTCTGCCACTTGTGTCTCAGTGTCTTCCCCAACCTCCCTCATCAGCGACCACATTTAGGGTGATGACGTCCTACAAACCACAAACAAATCTGTGGCTCGAACGATCTCGCCTCAATGGAATGGTGTTAGGGGGTGTATCCTACGGTGCGATTTCTATCGAAATACACAATTCGAAAGTCGACTTATGTACTACAATAGGCGTATTCTTTCTCCTTACAGTACAGTCCTGGATTGCTCTCATGCAGCAGCCTCAATATGGGGGAACAATTCCAAGTCATCGTCGCGTGCTTCTTTTCTACGTCTTTATCACGTTCGTATGTGGGACAATAAGTTTTGCTGCGAACGCAAGATACACGGAGATGATTTGGATAGATCTTCGTAATGCGCCTGGTGGTCCACTCGCGCTAATCGAGAACGAAATGAACAATCGTCTAAATATTCTGGCGCTTTCCTCGTAAGAACGGTTGCCCATCCACTTTCAGATCTCAATTATTGACGTCTCGTCTAGTGGTCACATCCAGGAGTGGTTTATGCAAGCTCTGCTGGTGAGCCGAATCATTTGTCGTAAGGAAATGGTGCAAGCTTGATGCCCTATATACTTAGCTTTACCGATGTTTCGTGATATGGAATTGGGCAAGATGGGTGATGATGCCGATGATCACACTTTATGTTGCCATGATCGGTGAAGTTCTTCATTTATCAAGCGACAGAGTAACTGACATCTTGAGCAGCATTGTCTGTTATCGTCCAGGTGGAGGCGAGCGCCGGTACCGTATTTTATAATATTAACATCGAGCTTGCCTACCTC